AACTCTCAGAAGTTGAGAAACTTGTGCGAGCTAAGGCTAACGAGGTCTTACCTTTTAACGTGTGATTCCATTAAAATGAATATACTGAAATATTAATTTTTTTTTGGTATTTCATGTTGTCATGGTGAGCGCCTTACTCACTTCCCAAATCTCTCGGTAGAACTTTCGCCAATCGGGACCTGGCACAATCGGCCTTCGTCAACTTTATCAAATCCCGAGCACACAATTCTCATCTTGACGTTGGTAAAAATGAACTGACCCAAATGGCTCTGTTTTGATTAAATTTAATGAGTATTCAAAACAGACTCCTGAAAGCGAACAAAAGATAAAAGATTCTTCATCATGAAAATCTGAGTTGACCCCTTTTCCAGTAAACTCCCGAGCTACAACTTCCTTGTCGGTCAATTACCATCCAACCTGCAGATAAATCAACTGATGGGCCATATCTATGAACGGAGGCTAATCAAGGACCTGCTATGGGTAGCCAGTAAATCAACTTATCTAGGCTCCACCGCCTATTAAACATGATAAGCCAATTTGAATTCATAGAAGTAATATACCCACTACACTGGCTAATTAATTTCCCCACTTGTATGTAATGATTGGCCGTCAAAAGTGGAAGTAAACAAGGAGTCGGAAAGTTTAGATTGGATTTACGGTGGTTGGATTATCTGAAGGTGGGAATCCTTCTGATAATACTGGTACAAGAGTTGCATGTAACTGCTGGAAAATGTTCTGACTTTTGAATGTCTTACCTTCTTTTCTGTCATGAGTTTTTGGGATATGTGAAGCTTGCCTGACAAATATTTTAATGCCTTGAGTAGCAAAATCAGTAGCTGATTCTGGAATATATTGGAAAGAAGTTACTGGTTATACTCTCCTTTCAGAATCAAAGCTCACTTCAAATGCATTCGAAACCTTTTTTCAACCCATATACTATCAATAGAATATGAAGTCCATATGGAGGTTAAAACTAAAAAGGTATAGAAGTGGATGTTCTCATCAAACTAAAATTCACTCACTAGCTGGTATACCTGGCTTTCCTCAGGTAGTTATGAAAATAGTTGGTGATTGGAGTAGAGGGATTAAATTTAAATTGAACGAGATAGACCGATCTTGCTTTCTATATCCCTATCAGTAGGTAGCCTTATCCACAAAATGAAGAGCTTCATATGGTTCAGAGCATTCGACACTGTTCTGGAATGTTTCACAATGATATAGGACGTTCTAGAAAATTTCAGAGTGAGTCCATACATTCTACGATACTTCAGAATGTTCCAGTATGTTCTGGAGAACTCTCTAATGTTCTGGACTGTCTTGAGCTTTTCTTATGGACGAAACTTTTATGTTTCATATCTTCAAAGACTCAGGTAAAAACGAGTGCCTTCTCCTCAAGTGATGGGATACAAGAAGCTTATAACTTTCTTGGTCATTTCGTCGTTACCTGGATCCATCTGGATCACTGTAGAATGTTTTGGACTGTTCAAGCATCTTCACCTTATAAATCTCCTCGATCTTTCCACAGTAACCAGGTATGTTCCTGTCTATTTATGAACAACCTACAATACTCTCTGTACTCCAAAATGTTCCTGAATATTCTGGAATGTTGTGAAATGCCTCAGAATATTCTTGGCTACTTTGATTCCTGGAGGGCGGAACCTTCAGCCCGTATCTCTAGAAATCTTTCAGCTAAAAAGGGCAACCTTTTTCATAGATCACCTTGAAAGTTTGCAGTTCCCTGAACTGGAGCGTCCTGAAGTTTGACCAAATTTCAGAAAGTGATGTTATTGTATTGTTCAAGCTTCTTCACTGACAGTTCCAAGTCGCCCAATTATCACTTTCCATTAACTCCCACCCGAAAAATAATCATCGCTCTACATTTGTGCCATAAACTCTCCTAGAGTAATTTTCCACTCGAAGCACACAATGGAATCCTTTCTGCTAAACGAGCGACATTCTGGCCTGTTGATGAGGGAAAACCTGTTTCCAGCCGCAATTTTCCTGCAAAGTTTTTCATCGACTTTTTCACGTATGCTCCGCCGTTTCCCATCTTACCCAATAATTTCGGGCAGCTCGGCCGAATTGGATCCGGGGCAAACAAATTCTTATCAGATTCAATGCGTTTTTATACGGATTTTCTGAGGGGTTATTATGGGAAGGGGTGGGAGAATTTGTGGTGTAGCAGAAAGAAGATTACTATGTCATGCGGATTACTATATCACGAGGACTGAGATTTGTTGTTTTCAATAACCGAAGAAGACCACGGCAAAACCCGGAAGCCAAACAATGATGTTTGTCTTTAAGTTGGAGATCTAGGCTATAAAAAGGCTATAAAATTCCCTATTCGAAACTGATTTAATAAAGGAAAAAGATTATTTTTTTGTATTTTCACTGCAATTTCATTGTAGGAAAAAAGCGAGTATTCTACGAATCCAATAATATAAAGTATCAGAAATTTGACTGCAAAAGTCATAATTTGGAGTTCGCTGCAAGTTGAGGTTGTTTATGTCCCAATTGTTCATGAACTCTATCACTCTAGACTAAGTTCGGTGTGGTATCAACGAATAATTATCTTCGAGCTTGTTACAGCTGGTATCATACGAAATATAGAACTATGTTCACATTGTTTCTGATTTTCACAAAATATATCAATCCCTGATTCAACCCAACCTTTTCCTGATATTCAAATAGCCAATACTTCGGATATCAGGATCTGTATTGGACAGTGTACACTTCGACATGTCTTAATGCAACTGTGAGTGAGTTAGTGAATAAAACCTTCCCAGATCGGTAGTAAGGAAGATGAGGGACTATTTAATAGCCCACTAGATCACCTGGTTTCAACCCGTTATACTTTCCGTGGATTTATTTGAATGATAAAGTCCATAGTAATATATTTGACAGTATTTGCGACTTCAACAGCCGAATTGGGCAAGAAATTCAGGATTTTATACTTGTAGTAGAAAATTCCTGAGGACTTCAATACAGGATCACTATATAGCGGACAAAAAAGAAATATTTGATCAGTCACAGCTAGTTTTTTTTTGTTCGTTTCTCAGTAGTGAATTCAATGCAAAATTTCCATGGAGTTGATTCTACTTGTTTCAATCTGTGAAAATCACAGTAACGTTTGAAATTATCTTCAAATATTACATAATGTATCACCTCGAAGTAGATCGATGCATCATTTGATAAATTTTTAGTATGAAATCAGAAAGATTTCTTCATTAATTTGAAAACATATGAAAACATAATATGCCCTTTGTCAATCTAACGACCTAAGATCACCCATACCAGCCTCTACTCTAGTCAAAGACTCTATATATTATAATGGTCTCGAAATGTTTAATCATTTACCTGACCATATTAAAATTTTAGAGGATAGCTGTGTATTTCGAAAATCAGTAGAAGACTTATTATGTGGTAGACCCTAATATAGTTCAGAAAAGTTCTATGAGGACCGCTTTCTCTAATCTATTTTATCAACTGTATTTTTTATCAAACAAAGTATGGTATACTGTATTTGAACATTCTGAATCACGTTTCTCCATCATCTCAGATGGCGTGTTACTGTTTCGCTTCGATAGGTTACAACTCTCAGTAACACGTCTTGATAATGCCATCTGAGATGATGGCGAAACGTCGACTATCGAATAGTACACAAATTCAACTTTATTTTTGGAAAAAATTGAAAAAGTGTATTTCTAGATTGAATTTAACAAAAAATCACTTGAAAAAGTTGTGTCTACGGCAATTTTATATCCATATGCCAAATTTGATGCAACTGGGATAAAGTTAACATTTTGCTTATTTTTGACAGATATCCCCTTTATTTTAAAAAACTAGTTCGTTTAATTGTCATCAATTCATGTATATATAACAAACTCATCATTGAGTTCAACTTTTCCAATAAATTTGGACTCATACGAACATTTTTAGAAAGAAATTAAAAATGTGCTATAAAAAATTTAAAATGACTGGTGCAAAGTTTCAATCACTTGGCTATTTTCTCAAACAAACGTCAGTACCTTCAATTTTGAAAAAGCAGACACAACTCAAAAACTGCAATAAGTATTAATAAAATTACTAGAGTTGGAATTACATTAAAATTTCAATATTCAGTATTTACAGATTATTTATAAACACTAACTAGGGCGGTAGGGATGTTCAATCACGTTGAATAAAATTTCTAAGTAGGTCTTGACAAACAAAATGCATGCTATGGTAGTATCAAGTTGTTGATTTACTTGTTGAATTTTCAACAGTTATTGTTGCAATAATGTTGTCTCTTCAGGAAAGAACAGAAATAGTTTTAATATGTGGTGAGAATATTATTTTACTTTCTTGAATGTGAAATTCAAACCCATGAGTTCAAGAGGAATAACATGATTGAAAAAAATCCGAAAGACGGTTGACCCCGCAGGACATGCTCACGACTTATCGGAAAGTTGAACATTCAACTTGAATAATTGAGGGGCCTCTACTCCTTCGTTGGTCGTCTCTAGGCCTCCAGACTTCCAAATCGCGCCCTGCAATCAGACGATGCCAGTTAAATTTGTACATTGCGAAATTCCAGTTCTACTCATTCTCCCCAAACAAAAGTATCCATCGCCAACGTACAGAAAAAATGTCTATTCATAACAGTTTGCCACAATTCCTGAAACAATATCCACACGAAACCCCAGAGTATTATGTTTTCTATCGTCTCCTCGGTTAGGCAAAAACTCCACGAAAATCCATAGAGACGGTCTGAAATTGACACTCGACTATATTTGCAAATTATATTAGGATTTTCCGCTGAATGTTCCTGAAAAATGGAATGAATATTTGCATAGTGCAAACGGAATAGTGCTCTATAGTGAAACAGAATGAATGAGATTATAAATGAGCTCAAAATAAAAGCTGAAATTTTGATTGAAAATCATCTACATACAAGAATATCTTCAATATTCCGTCTTCGACAATTTGGTTATGGCGACCTCTGTGAAGTACATGTTGAAACTTTCCTAAAAGTGAATGTTTGAATACTTCCCACATCTCATTCCGTTCGAATATTAGCCATAATAAACAAAACTTTCTACATGCAGAAAAATTCTGAAAATATAGAGCCAATAATACTCTTTCCTTCGTTCGATGCACCATTTGCAAAGTGATTTCATAGATAGAAATGGATAGATTTTTTGGCGTGAAATTGATCTTGGAAAAGCACTCCCTTCTCTTACGCCGGAACAAAACGCTGTCTCCCGACTCGCGTTTCGATAACCCAGTAGCATCATCAGTAGATAATAAATACCAGTCTTCATGATCTACCAAGAGAACCAAGATCATACACTCTGCATGATATGTAGGCAGCACAGAAGTTGAGCAGATATTATTTTTGTAAAACCATCTTATTTATTTATTTCATGTAAAGAAATCATAAGCACCCAGTTGCTTGGTTTTTGCACAATTTTGTTCCAGACATTTTGAACTCGAAGATGAGCCCAGAAGTTGTCGACTAGGACGAGGAGCTTGTTTTATTCAATGTCAAAGCTGTAATTTTTTCCCTCAGTTATGCAGATACTCATTTATTCCCGGTAATTTGTTCAAAACTTCGTTTGAATAAAAAGTATTTTTGTTTCAGGGTTTTGAATTGAATTCTATCAATGTTCGAAATTTTGTTATAGTGAATGTGTTATATGTGAATGTGATATAAAAAAAATGTGATATGAAGGATCAATCTATGATTTGAGTTGATTTTATTTTAGAAGATGTTATACAGGGTCCTGCAACAGTGGGGCGGTGTTCCATATCTCTATATAGGAAGCAGATAGGAATCTTATTTTCTATAATATTACCTTATTGCTCGAGCTCGACAAATTCTTTAATGTCTTCCCCTTTTATTTTTTGAACGGGTCAATCAAAAAATTGAAAATGGCGACTGGGCGCCATTTGGACCAAATAAAATAAAAAGAGGGGTCTTGTGACACGTCATTTTGAAGCTCCTGAAGAATCTGTTTTGTTTGAAAAAATCTGTTTTTCCGTTAATCAGCTGTCGCCCCATACGAACGACCACTCTCAGAAGTTGATAAACTTGTGCGAGCTAAGGACTAACAAGGTCTTACCTTTTAACGTGTGATTCCTAACACTTCACAACCCTAGAATATGAAGTCAACTACAAAATGGCGGAACATTCAATAATTTCCTGAAGACAAACACATTAATATCGATATTTCTAGAGATATTCTTTTTTATCTATCATATGGCAATTCTAACAACCCGATAAGGTTTGTTAAGTTCTTTTTTGTTTATAAAAACGACAAAAAATGTTAGTACGACAATGAACATCATTGTTCAGTTAAAATATTCTCATTTAGTTTTCGGTTTTACTAGTAGAAAGGTACCACGTCAACAATCTCTGAAGTGGTCAATTCTCGTCCATTGGAAAGAAAAATTGAAGCGATTTTTATTTACGGTGCGACGCGTAACTTTGATGAAACCGATAGGATTTTCAATTTTGTTTTCCGAATATTCCTATGTGTAGAGAATATTTGAGGAAACTTGTATCCAAATTCACAACTACCGGTAGTGTACATAACAAAAAGCCCCCAGGTCATCCGTCCATTCCGGGAGAACAGCAAGTACAAATAATTGGTGGGATGGTAGTAAATCCTGAACAGTCTACTTATTCCGTCGCGAATGTTGGTAAGGTGTCTCCTTCCACTGTGTGGAGACTTTTGGAGAAGAATAGGTATCATCCATACAAAATTAAAATGGTACACCCATCAACTGAAGATGGCCCTGATCGAAGAACAGAATTCTGTGAAATCATGACAGTAACTATTGCAAAGCATCCTACCTCTCTCCACAATATTTGTTTCAGTGACGAATGTACATTTTTTTTAACGGCAATGTTCATAGACAAAATTGCCTTTATTGGAGTGACACCAACCCTCACGTTTTCCGGGAAACACGTACCCAATATCCAGAAAATATTAACGTTTGGGCAGGAATATTGGGAAACCATATTGTAGGACCTCTATTTATTGATCAAAATTCAACAGGAGAATTGTATTTCAATATGCTAGAAACTACTGTTGACCCTCTCATCACTGAAATCATCGCAGCGAATCCCAATGAATTCGATATGGATAATGTATTCCAACAAGATGAAGCACCACCACAATAGTAAAAAACTATTTGGATACTACTTTTCCCGTACGTTGGATTAGCCCTTGAGGTCCTACAGAATGGCCAGCCCGCTCGCCAGATTTGATACCTTTGGACTTTTTTATGGGGCTATTTGAAGCAAGAAGTGTACGAAACTGAACCTGCTTCAATATTGGGTATACGGCAGAGAATAATAAATATTTGTAGAGATATTGACGTTACTTTGTTCGAAAATGTTCGGCGTGAAATATCGGATAAGCTGCTTATATGTCAAGAAATTCAAAGCAACCATTTCGAACATCTTCTGAACTGACCTCGAACTTATTACCTCATATTATGTAGTTAAATGTCGATGTATTCAGGCAATTATTAAAAGTTCCACCATTTTGTAGTAGTTGAAGATATTTTCATTGTCAATTGTCATTTCAATTCAATATTTTGACCCGTTCAAAAATTAAAGGGGTGGGGGGGCATTGCACTGTATATGATAGAAGAAATTCTACTTACAAACAGCCATGAGAATATTACTCTCACATTACGAAAACGTTCAGTTTGTGATGAAAACTTGTTATCGTATTATCATGTAGTTCCACCATCATTTACAAGGAAGAAGCTATATTTCCAACTCCAAAAAAAATGTGTTGAATCTCTTTATGATTTTTCGTCTGTACTTTGTACTGAGAAATCTATTTTATAACAATCTGACGGTTACAACAGCCAGATGCAAAACATCCAAAACATACGAAATTGATTGGCGTGGTTCAGAATTATTCGAGCATTCTCCATGAAATTCAAGAGTCAAATATTCCCTTTCACCATCAAATAATATTCTAACAAATTGAGAACATTCTCCTTTTCAAGTTGGCTAGTTAATAAGAGTCACTCACTTTTTTGTTACATTTTCCAAAAAATAAAACTCGCAAGTTATGACATTCTTTCCAGTCACATCCAACTTTATGAAGAGACGTTTTATGCATCATCGCCATAACCCTTTTCTCACAGGAATATAAAAAGCACCGTTTCCCACCTTCATTTCCTGTTTCCGGGTGAATCCAAATTGGAAGAAATTCGTGGACAGGGAACACCAACGAGTGATAAATGATACGTATAATAACCAGCCTAGAAACATGTTCCAAAAGTGCTCCAGTTTCCACGAGAAAATCCCCACAGAAGTTAACGAAATGGCTGATGTCGCAGGGAGGCTTTCAGGTTTTCGACTCTCCCACATTTCGCGTTCAAAACAGAGTTACCTGTGGGGATTTTAAAATGATGGTGGTTCCTTTTTTTTGAAGTGTGGAAAAGCGGTAGTTGGATTCGAATAGTTTTATTATTCTAGTAACTACAGGAAATGTCTGCTAGTGTTTAATTTTATCCTATAGTGGAAAAATATCAGATGATTACTTTGTTGAACTACGATTATAATTATTATTATTATTCTCATAGAAGAGTCAGCTCAAGAAGTTGGTTTCAGGTCGCCAATATTTTCAATAGCTGTGTTCTACTGAAGGAAAACCCGAGAAAATCTTTAGCAATTGAAAATCCTGTTCCATTACCCTGAAGTGTCCATGAAAAATAATAATCTCCAACAATACAATGCAAACTTTGACAATAGTGGTTTCAAGTGTTCCACAAGGAACTTTCACTGTGACCTTTAGTATCCTCAGTTTTCATCAATGATTTATCTGAACATATGCAAACTGTTAGGTGCTAGGTTAATTATGCAGATGCGGTGATTATTTACATGAATGATGATTTGAAATCAAATGATAAAATAGTTTATTTCCTCCACAAATGCTCCACCATCTTTTCAACAGTGGAGACGGGAGTGGGTATAAAGAAAGAAGAAAGGAGTAAATTAATTTGCGAATATTTTATTGATGATTGTTATGGAAAAGAGAGCGTCGTTCAGAAGTAAAGGAAGACAATATTTTTTTAACAATAATAGAAGGTAAAGAAAAATTGTAACGAAGATTCAGTTCTAACTTTCGTGACCAATCTACAAAATTTGATTCATTCACAAGGAAAAATAAATTATATTAAAATGAAAGATTTTGTCACATTGACTCCTTCGTTGTTTAATTCAACTGATGAATTATCTACCCTCTAGTATGCATACCGTCGGTTCACAGTTGCTCAAAGGTAGCAAAGTTTTTAAAATTTCAACACAATACACTAAACTAATATAATTGATACTAAGTAAAAGTACATACTTTTCAGATAGATGAAGTGGGTAACGCAGTAACGCTGACAGTTTTGGTAGTGTTACTTCTGTGATGTCAATACGTCCCGTTCAGACCAAAATGAACGATAAAAAGGAACAATATTACCTTTTTTAAGACATGTGGCTTACGATCATCAGCTTTTATGTCGCTACCAACAGTGGTGAAGGCCTAAAAATTCATACATGTCTGAACATAATTTCTTGCAAGCAAGAAGGTCGTATCAATTAAACACAAAATGTTTGTTCATACCTGAGTTGGAGTGTGGCCTTTCGAGATGTCCGAGTTCTTCGACAAGGTAAACTTCAATTTGAAAGTTTCGAGTAATTCCTACATAAATCCTACGACACTAGATAATTGATTATCTCCTTTGAGATAAATCAATTGTCGATTCAGGAACACTTTGAAACCTTCTTTCAAATCCGCAAAATTGCGATGTTCTTCCCGTGTCTGGTCCAAAACCAAGAAAAGAAGGAAGAGACGTTTTCTTTCTGAAGTTTCCAAATGTCGAAATGACATGAGCTGTCATAAAAGATGAATTGTTTGCAGAAAAAAACGATATTTCGTAAATAAACTTTGTGAATCTGCCTATTCCAGCAATACGAAGACTCGTTTCATATTCCTGACATATACAGGGTCATAATAAATCGTAATACGAAATAAATTATTTTTGTTATATTTTGAGTAAACTATGAACTATTTGGAATTTTATAGACTTTCCCTTTCTCCATTATAAAATCTACTGGGGGTTTACTGAAAATTGTGGTAGTGATTTTGAAACCGTAACAAGTTTACTTCTATGTAATAACAGTGAATCATAATAGAAACGTTTTTATTCAACATTCCATTGGAGATAATTATGCACCACACCAGGAATCGAAATTAATGATGGAAATTTGAACGCAACAGACACTACACATTTTTTGGAAACATATAAAAAACTCCCCCGTATGCCAAAAACCGGAAAAAATTTCGACAACTTCAAATTTGAATTGACAAAGTTTTTCATTATTAAATGTTATTATCAAACAGATAGGAAATATTGAACACATTTCGGTTCTGGTGCAGGTGTTTTTAGTCGCAGACCCAGGACAGAGATATTAACCTGTCTAGGAACCTAGACGACTGTATTTCAAGCGGAAATTAACGCTATTGAATTGTGTGCAGAGTCAGAGTCATTGCCTCATCAATGAGGCTGCTGACTCCCCTGCAATGGTCATCGGACCAGACCCTGTCATTGACATCGCTTTATGCTTCGTTAAATAAACATTGAACACCTGGATGGCAAGAAGATTTATGGACTTCTGGCAGAATCTTCCAGGATTGGCTCACTCCAAGGCGTTTATTCACCCTTTGAAGCTTGATACCCAACAGTTGTTGGACTACAGTAGGGATGAACTATAATGTCTAACGGACCTTATTACAGGTCACTGTCATTTGAACCATCATATGCAGAGACTCGGACAGTCGGAGGACAGTGTGTGTCGCCTCTGTTTGGATAATTATGAAACAGCAGAGCACATATTTTGTTCCTGCCCCGCTGTGGACCGAATCAGGTTTTTAGAGTTCGGCAGAGCCGTACTCTTACCATCTAACCCAAAAGACCACTTACTATACAAACTAATCGGCTTCGTTAAGAAGCAGAGTTCATTTGGTTGAGTGTGAATAGGTGTGAGCCACAATAAACCTTTGTGGGTTGCGGTAAAGAGTCGAATAGACCCTCACTTTGGACCTAACCAAACCCAACCTATCAAGCAGAATATCATTTCAATAAATGATCATATGTAATTTATAAAAATGTAGGTATTGTGGAAATTCATTGGATACCATCATGAATAGTATCATTAATTCTCATCAGGTGAAAGTTCATGAATCCCATCTGCTTTATATCATCATTGAACTGCGGATTGATGTAGAAATAAACATTATTCCAAACTTTCGAGTATCTGCAGAATATATTCTAAAAGACTTTGTGATCGTCTATCTCACAGCAGATAAATTGATCCAATTTCATTTTAACTGATTTATTCCTACAATTTTTTCGGTTTCAGCAATAAAGAAGCGCTGTAAAATGCCTACGAAATTGCGTTTTTATAACAATGAAGTCGCACCCCTGTCGATGAAAAGGTTTTTCGGTAACTTTTACTCTTTATGACATTGGAAAATTATATTGGAAGTGAACGCGTAGTGAATTTGTAATAATTCAGAGAATTATTTGAGTTTATTGTTGATGAAGAAGTATTAAGGAGTCAAATCCTCATGTAGACTTGAATGGAACAACATACTATACGGTCAGCATGAAGATTGGGTGCTAAGTATTCAATGAAATCGATGGAGGCCGTTTCTGACTAGTTTTGGGGAATATGGTGAATGAGGCAGAACTCCGATGCCCAATTTGTCCAATTTTCGGATGATAATTTGTAAAACGTGCGGATGGGCGTTGTCGTGAAGAAGAATTTGACAATTTTCGGTACAGTTCGTGGATTTACTCATAATTGGACACCCCTGTGATGGTTTGGCCCGGTTGTAGAAAGCTATAAGTGAATTCTACTAGCTGCTGATAACCTAACAAAAACCATGCTTTTATTTTCCGTGGGTTTTTGCCTATGGAAAGTACCTGGATGGCTCATGGGTGTCCAACCCCACGTAAAGTTTGTGATAGGTCAATCTACACCTGGGTCCTTAAATCCTCGTCTTGGATTACTGTAGATCGACCACTTGGTTGATTTTTCGGCCTGTTTTGATAGCGCTTTGGTTCAACTTGAATTTGTAGAGATAAATTGGCCGAAAGTCGCTCAACATCATATGGTGAGCTGAAGAGGCAAAAACTTCAACATCAATGTATAAATTACAATTTTCTTATAGATCAATATACACCGCGATACAATGAAAATAATATTTATTGAGATATGAATCTTCAAAAATACATGACATCAAAACGAACAAAACTTATCAAACAACCCAATACAACCCCTAACAATATCATCGTCTTGTAGAACTCTCCAGTATTTAGTAATACTGAGTTATTGGTGGGTTATCAAATCTTCAAATTTGAGAATATAAATGGTCTATTACAATACGAAAAAGTATCATTGTCTGTAAGGAAACGGTATGAAAATGTGTAGATAGAAACAACTGAAAAATATCACCCTATTTCATACAATTCCATCTTCATTTCAAACAGAAAAAATTGAATCAGCCTCTTGAAGGAGAGCAAAGAAGTTTATTATTTCGAGAACAGAGGGAGTAATTATACTGATGAGATAATAAGGCATTCTGTACGTTATTCTTGTGAGAATTTGATTTGCACTCTTCCTGCAAATGAATGAAGGAAATGACAGTCGCGCAATTGAATCATTTCTCGGCTCGCCTAATTGTCTCCAATTTACTTCTGCATCTCTGGCTGGATTGGATACTCTTTCTATGTCTATGGAAATAATAGATGAGAAACCAGACAACGGGAGATAATGAATCGAAGTTTATATCCATTATATACAAAACTGAATATAACAATGATAATATTATATTAAAACGAAGATAAAAATAAAATAAAAACAACAATAAAAATTAATTGGCGCTCCGGGGCGACTTCATTGATTCCAGTGGCGCATTTGCTTTTTCAGCTGCAGGAAAACCCGGAAAAATCTGCAGCACCACATCATCTAAAGATCTTGATCTAACAATGTCCTCCCTCTTATAAAACAAAATGTAGGGTGTCTCCAGAGGCTCCAATAAAGTCAATGCATCGCCAGAACACTTCGTGACACGACTATGAACAGAATGTTCACTTAAACAAATATAGGTTGACCTTCAAAATAAGGTGATGCATGATTCGCAGAGTCTGCGAATCATGCAAACATCTGGGAGAAAAAGAACAAAAAGTATATGAGGTCAGACTAAGTGAACTAACTAAACTAGTTTATCAGCGACCTTTTTTTGGGTATTTGTTACCTTCCACAATCTGAAAAATATAAAAATCATAGTGGAGAACTTTATACAAGTGTAGAAGGGCAGACTTTTTAGTTTACCCCGATAAGTTACTGCGTAAAAATCACAAAGAAAAATCTTCTATTCATCAGTAACTTGTCGTATTCAACAATTTTGCCTGCCAAAAAAATTGTTAAGATATAATACGATACTTATCTCAACGTTTCGGAGACCAAAATCAGCTTCCGTCTTCAGAAATGGACAAAAAAAATTGTAATATATTGGCAGTTATTCCTTTTTGATTATTTATTTCTTTGCTTCTTCAACTGATGTCAAAGGAGTTTTGATATATGGAATTATGTCAATGTTGTTGATTGACAACTGAAACATTCAATGTAATACAAGGTGCTCTCCGATATCAGCTGTTGCCATTTCGCCACTATTCAAATTTTTCTTCAAGATAAATAACTGATTTTTCTCCACTTTGACTTTCATTGAATGATAAAACTTATTTCACATAGCACCAATGACATTTCAATTTGTTTCAGATTGTGAAAGGTGAAAATTCCCAAAAGGAGATCAATGGGAAACTATTTTTCCATGGAAATAACGTTTCGAAGAGTTTCAATTCAAACTTCTGGAATCACTAAATAGATCTGCCATTTCCATAACAAACAGTTTCGAGTGTTAGTGAGGTTCAGCTCAACAAAAATCAGTTCCTTTTTATAATCCTCCTGAGTAATACACCAAACTGAATGAAATACATATAAAGAAGGTGGTTATTACTCTGCAATTTTTGTTCAATTAGTGAATTGCTCGATAAAATGGATTTTTTGAATCCAATTTCATAATTCTCATAAAATTGCGTGATTTCCTTTTCTACTTCCTGATTTCGAATTCTTTCACGTATGATCTGTAGAATTAGTGGAAGAATTCAATTATCTCGGTTTGTGATACAGCTCGTACAAAAATACAGTATCGTGAAATCAATTTCTATTTCTGTCACTTTCTTTTGGCATTTATACTCCCTTAAACTCAAGATTCTCTTTGAAGGTGGTTGACAATGTTTCGTGGTGTATTTCAACAGTACGGACTTCCATTGTCTAATATAATGTAAATTGATTTGCAATTCCTGAGGAACTATTCAAAATATTAACCGAAAATAATAATTTTATTTGAACAAAAAAAACGAAATTACAGAGAAATCACATGAAATCAAACAATCAAAAAAATTAAAATTGAAATATTAATAAAAAGTTAAAATTAACAATTATTATTAACAAAAAATAAAAAATCAAAATCAAAAGATTCCAAACCGAGTTATGTTACTGGTGTGTTTTTCTTGTGCATAGCAATGCGAACTTTCAATGACGTCTTAGTTTCACCAATGTATGATTCTCCGTACTCGCAGGGTATCCGTTAAATGCAATTCTTGGAATCTGAAGCAGGTCCTGATGTTATACTTGGACCCAATCCTTCTTATCCTTTCCGATAGGGAAGTACAAGAACTGGTCGTGGAGACTTCTCTCCCTTGTGTAGCTCTTGCTGTCTTCTAGCTGAAACTTGTTCTACCATCACTCTGGA